TCCCATCCAATTCTACACAATGACTATCTTACTATTCCTCCCATCCCAATAGCTGCATACTAGTAAGTATGACATTATCATCTTGACATCCTTGGTCCTCTTTGAGAATGAGGGATCAACAACAACAACAAGGGCTCTTCATGAAGGTATTTACACGGAGATTGAGTTAAACCTTGTCACACATATTTCTTACATGTGTTTCTCACTACTATTATGATCTAAGTTTAAGCTTACTCCTCCCATGGATATTGTGTATATTTGTGGGAGGGGTGAACCAGGTTCTTAGGAGAAAGAATAGTTTATTATAATTAATTTCTCCTCCTCCTTGTTCTCCTCCATTTATTTCCATTAATTTTTTTTTCAAAAAGCTGGGACAATTTTCTTTTTGTCCTATGTGGTTTTCATTTTTGATTTCTTAAAATATAGCTCTGAAAAGACAAGATTTAAAAGCCCATTGTGTTGTAAATGGAGCTACTTGATTCTTCCTTAAAATCCAAATCACTCTGGCTTTCATTGAATGGCCAAATAGCCCCAGCCTAAGCCTCTGTGGCTCATTATTTTGGTTTTACATTTTGATGGCTTAGGACGAGTATAAATAGCAATTGGTTTCTGTTCTTGTCAGAAACTCTGAGGGTCTTCCCCACCTAGATTGATGTCTTTGTGAAGTCATTTTTTTGGTCTCAACTCTTACCTAGCCCTTAGTCATTGAATGGGTGTGGCCTCACACAAACTGAGACCCAGGAAAGACTTTAATTTAGAAAGGCCAAGGTTACCCACTGCATTGTGGACCATCACCATCTTGTCCTTTGTCTTGCCACTGGATTTCTATGTCTCTGGAGGAGAGAGTGAGGCTTATTGATGCCTCTCTTAAACTTTGCCTCACTTATATACAATTTATGCACAAGTCAAAACATTACCCATGTGATGTCCTTGGTCCTCTTCAAGAACGAAGGACAAACAACAACAATACCAGTAACTCCCATGCCCTTCTTGCTCTAGGTTCAATAATCAAATTGATGCTACCATATGTATTTCTGGAAAGAATGTGTCACTGACCTATTCTATCAATCAACTGCTGTTGTTATTTGTTCTTCCTTTTGGAAGACGACTATGACATCAGGAAGGTGATGCCATGACTTGCAAGTGAATTAGATTTAAGTGAGGGAAGGCTATGCAGAGTCATCAGCTTCACTTTTTCCTCCAGAAAAAGGGTCAAGTGGCTAGGTATAAATCAGGATGACTGGAGATAGCCTAGGATGCAGTGGGAGACCTTGGCCTTTTTAAGCTAAGGTCTTTCCAGGTCTCAGTTTGACTGAGGCCACACCCATTCAGTGATTAAGGCTAGGTAAGAAATGAGACAAAGAATGGCCTCTTTTATCTAGTAAAAAAAAAAATCAATCTGGGAGGGAACACCCTCAGGGTTTCTGGCCAAAACAGAAACAATTGCTATTTACTGTTTACTCTGAGCCATCCAGGCCCAAGCAATGACCACTAAGTGGGGCTTGGGCTGGAATTGATTATTGGCCAATCAATAAGAGCCAGAGTGAATTGAGTTTAAGGCAATACCAAGATACCTTAGAAAGTTTCAGGGATCAAAATTTACATTTCTATGGGCTGAGCATACATGACACCCTGTGTGGGAGGAAGGAGGGAAGGGAAGGAAAAACAAAGGAAAGGGGAAAGGAAAGGAGAAGCGAAAAGGAAAAAAAGGAAGAAGGCAGGAAAGAATGGAGGAACTGCATTGCCCAACTGGAACTGGGGCCAGTTGGGTCGTCAGTGGAGTAGCCAGTACTGTACTACTCACAGGTTGTTGTTTGTCCTTCATTCTTGAAGGCAAGTCATGGCATCACCAGGAAGGTGATGCCATGACTTGCAAATGAATCAGATTTAAATGAGGCAGGGCTGTGCAAAGTCACCAGCCTCACTTTTTCCTCTGGAGTCATCTGGGTCCAGTGGCAAGATATAAATCAGGACAAAGGGAGAAGGCTCCACCATTCAACTGTAGTATCCCCATGAATCCCAATACTTTCTCTTCCTTTGTCATCACTTCATTTATGTTATCTCCTATTGGAATATAAACTCCTTGAGGTCAGGTTCTCTCTTATATTTGTATCCCTAACACTTAGCACAATGCCTGACACATAATTAATGCTTAATAATTTTTTTAAGTTAAGTCATAGTGAAAATAAAATTTGCAAATAGCAAGCCAACTAGACAGAATGATATAAATAAGCACAATTGCATTACTGTCAAATACATCTAAAATTTCCTTGTAGCATCATGACATTGCCATTCACAAGGGTGGAAATTCTTTAGAAGTTAATTTGTTATCATTCAGTAGGTTTATAGGACTTGGATGCTGGCTCACAGATCTCTTGTGATTAAAGTTCCAATGATTTTTTTTTTCTCCTCAATTGGCAAACTATTCACTCCTAAGAATATTGGATGAAAAACCCACTTCCAACCTAGGAAGTATCTTTGTGGTTTTTTATTCTGATGATTGTGAATAGAAGTAACTGATTTTCAGCATCTGTTATGTAAATTACAATGTCTTCTCCCTGGAAAAAGCTACTGGATAGTATTAAACCTCAGGACATGGGTTTTTGTACCAAAGAAACATTCCATTGTATTTTTTTTTTATTATTCTGGAGGTTAAATCATAGTGATTCCATTGAACTTAATTTAAGATTTTCAAGTTGGAACTTAACATAAGACTTTCAAGTTTGACCTTAATCCATGACTTCCAAGTTAATCTATGAGCTCTAGGTTAGGTAGTAAGTTATTAATCAGACACTGACACTTTGCTCTCCTCTAGGCAATCTACTATTCATCAGAATCCAAGCCAGCTGTATCAAAAGTAGAGTGGCTAATGACCACCAGGTGTCACCATTCTACTTCCTCCCTAAATGTGCCTTGAGAAAAGCCTGAGATAACTTGCTCATCTTCCTAGGGATTGAGGTTAATATGCACTCAAACCCATCTTTCACTCTAAACATCTTTTGTTAAAAGGAATTGTTAGAAAAGTTTACTTGATTTCTAATGAATTACTCTATGGAGACTTGAATAAAGCTAAAACAAAAACAGAAACACCATCCTGGGCAGTTTCTGAATGTTCTGATAAAAAGGATGTGTTCTCTGACTTAACCTAGGCAGGAGGTTTACAAGATCATAATTTGGAGATGGAAGGAACTTTACAGGCCTTCTAGTCCAAGCTCTTCCATTTGCAAATGTGAAAACAAAAGCCTAGAAGGGTCAAATTGAATTAATCAATTAATGGTTACATAGATTTCTTACTCTTGCCTGAATCTCTAAGTAGAATCAAATGAAAGGTATGGTTACTGTATCCACGCTCTGAGGCTAAGTTTAAGGGGTCTGGTGGCTTTGGGGATGGAGGAAAAAGCATCGATTTTATGGTGCAGTGGAAATAGTTGTGGACTGAGTGTTAGGAGACCTAGGTTCACCTTTGCCACTGTTAAGCTCCATTTCACAAACTTGGACTTTATGTCTAAGTACCCTCACCTGCAAAATGAAGGTGTTAGATTAGATGATCTCTAGAGGTCCTTTACAGCTGTACAATCTATGGTTCCTAGCCCTTAATTTAGTTGAAAGTATTTAGGCATACTTGACTGCCAGAAGGATCATGCTAGAAACTGGGGGATAGAGAATGATCAACAGAAGCAATTGGGCTTCTGTATTGTCATTCTGAAAAGACAACTAATTCTGGTTTTACAATGTAAATAGATGTCATGGCTCTACTCCTAAGCCCTTTATTACAAAGTGTTAATAAGCTAGGTAGTTGAGATGCAGCTTGGTGAAGTGCATAGAGTGTTAGATCTGGAGTCAGGAAGACTTGAGTTCAAATTCTGCCTCAGACATTTACTTACTGGGTGACCCTGGGCAAGTAAGTTACTTAACCTGCCTCAGTTTCTTTATCTGCAAAATGGTGATAATTAATACCCACCTCAGAATGGAATTGTGAGAGTCAAACGATATTATATATAAGTAAAGTGCTTTGCAAACCTGAAGTTACTATAGATAAATATAAATATTATCTATTATCAAATCTTTGACATTTTCTTTGGTACCTGCTGAGATTGTAAAATTTGCTATTTATCATCTCCAGTTAATTCATTATGCTATTCTTTTAATGTGAAATAATGCTTATCATTAATATACTTGTCTAAGATGGTTTCTCTGAAGGCTTGAAGGCTTAATCGGGTGCAATTCCAGTCAATGCTTGTTGCAAACTAGCTCCTTCCCCTCAGGGCAAGTAAGTCTCTCTCCTATGGAATCTCCCCCAAGAACCTGGGAGATACCGATTATTTCCCTAGATTCTAGGAGCTGGAAATCCACTCTTATTTCTCGAATGAGTGAAGAGAGAACGAGAAAGGGAAAGAGGCTAAGTGACTTAACCAAGGTCACAAATTTGCAGAAGCTCATTGTGAAAGTTAGAGTCAGAGCCCAGGTCTCTTGATCCTTAAACCATTGATTTTACACTCTGCTGTCTTCCTCCCTGATTAATATAGGATTGAGCCAGTTCAAAATTTCTGTCTGTATTGGATTATTATGAGAGATCCTTGTTCATGCGAGAATTTGCGAAATGCCTCTAACTTTAGTACCAGTTTAGTTAATTCCTCAATCAGAGGTGTCAAGTGACTCCTGTTTAATTGCTGACTTTTGGGTGGTAAGGGGGAGGGGAGGGGGAGGAGGCAGCGGAGCAGGAAAGAGAGGGAGGCGGGGAGAATGCTTCTCTAGTAAATTTAGGAATTTGTAGACCGTCCCTAAGCCTAGCTCTTTGGTTCAGAATTGGTTGTGCACAGTGACTGAGAGGGAGGGGAGTTTGCAGACAGTCCCTGGCCGCAATCCAGGTCTTTTGCTATGGCCCGGGAGCCGGCAGAAGTTGGTGAGGTGGGATGGAGAGGGGAGGGTTGAAGAATTTGCAGAGGAACCCTCGCCTCCAGTTCTCGAAAACCTGATAGCGTATCTCCCTCTCTGTAAAGTGTGTTCGCGCGTTGTGTGCACGGTCCCTGCCAAGTCTGGGAGTTTGCAGACTGTCCCTGACTCGGCCCGTTTACACGACCCTGCAGCTTTGGCGGCGGCGGCTCGCGGGCTCTGAATCCATTCCCAGGTAGCTTGCGAGGCAGGCTCAGCGGTCCTTGCTGCTACTGCAGCCTGCAGGCGGTGTGACCTCCTGCCCGCCCAACCCCGCATCCCTGCACACTGGCTCATATAAGAGACGACGGGTGAACAGCTCCTCCAGGGGCTGCTGCTGCTGCTGCTGCTGAGAAGGGAGGCAGCCCGAGAGGTAAGAAGCGTCTGCGATGATTTTTGTTGCTCTCGGGCTAGAGAAGGATGCACGCCCCCATCCCCTTTCCATCTCCTCTGCTTTCAACCCCTAGCACGCCATCCTGCCGCCCCGCTGGAGAAGGGAAGCTCTGCCTCCAGAAAGAGAGGAACGGGGTGACTAGAACAAGCCGAGGGGCAGAGCCGGGTGGCAGCCTCTGAGCCTCCCCGGCTTTGCCCTCCTTCTGCGGCTGTCCAGCGCTCGGGCCGTTCGGGTAGGACCCTGGGACTCAGAGCTGGGGTGTGTTGCTGCCCAGAGACCGACGCCCTCGTGCCCCCTCCGCAGTCCCACCCGTGGGACGGGCAGCGGAGCTTGGGTCTGCTCCTTCCTAGAGAGAGGGGGACAGCTTCGGTGTTGTTTGAGGCGTGTTTGGGATGTTGGAAGCCCACGGGCATCCCTTTCGGGAGAAAAGTCCAAGGGAGGTGGGTAGGAGGATGAGCGATTAGGCTATCAAAAATGGGAGACTCTGAGACCGAGCCTTGCCCACCCACGGGAGTCCTCCTGAAGTCGAGGTGAAGGCGCAGGTTCTTCTGCCCCCGGGATGCCAGGATGGTCAAGGGTCTCCTCCTGGTTCAGGGAGTGAGGGAACGGGCTAGGAGGTCTGTATTAGACTCCCGGTGCTAGGAGAATGGGGTGTGTGGGGGGAGGTGTTGTTGGGAGTGGGATGGTGGGGCAGAAAGCGAGCGCTTCCCACGGAGACTGAGGTTGTAGATGCGGCGAGCTTGGGGCTATGGGCAGCGCTGGCCCTTTGCGGCCTCCTCTGTCCCTTCCGCCCCAGGGGTACGCTGGCCAGTGCCCACTTAGGGGGTTAGCGAGACCTGGGAGCGCGGTTGCCAGATTGTGAGCCCGCCAGCTCGGGGTGGTTTATGAGTCTGGGAAAAGCGAGAGGCGAGAGAAGGGGGGGGAAAGGGGAAGGGGGGGGGGGGGGGGGGAAAGACGAGAGCATGCTCAGTGGAGCCCAGGGAACTTCCTGCCGAATAGTGAGCCTCGCGAGGCAGGCACCCTGCCCTCCCGCCTCTCTTACTCAACCCTTAGCAATTCTGAAAGTTGGTGGGAGGGCAACCTGGGCTCCAGTCCCTTGACCCCCGGCGCTGCCACCCACCCCTTCTCCCAGAACCCGGGCTCCTCTAGCCCCTGCTAGAGCCTGCCAGCGAGCCACCCTCTACAGAGGGGGAGGGTCAGAAGGGGATTTGACATCTCTCATCTGCTCTTCTGTTGCCCACTCTGGTGCCAATGCCGGGGCGGCGGGAGGCCTGGAGAGTGGTGGTGGTGGTGGTCTCCTCTTGGAACTCGGGGGGCTTGGAGCAGAAAAGGCAGGAGCAGAGTTTTCCCGTTGTCAGTGAGCATGCAGTCTAGTCCGTTTTAGTCCTGACTCCCTCTACAACAAATCCTCTCCACGCAGGATTTGGGAGGCGTATTGTATGCATTTTTACTCTGTAGCATATCATATAATGTATACTCATGCTATTTAATAGCTTTATAGCTTTCTCCAGGAATAGGGTGTGGGGGTGAAGCTGCGGGTGGAATTTGGCTATTTGGCTAACACCCTGTTTTGAGAGCCCACGAGCCGCTTGCTAAGCAGGGCAAGAACTGTTGGGGCCAGGTTTCTGGGTAAAAGGGTGGAGGGAGTGCGCAGGAAGCCTGAACACGTTATACTTTATTAGGTCCTTCCACTGACTCCCTCCTTTCCCCTTCCACTCCTTGTCTGAAGACATCCATCCTTGCGAAGCTTTACATGCTCCCGTAGGCGCAGGTGGAAGCCAGTTGGAGGCGGTATGGGGTTGGAAAGAAAAATTTTCTGCCTGGGACTAGGAAGTTGGGGCGTGATGTGGGCAGTGTGCTACCTTTGGAAAGAGGCAAAAAGCATCTTAAAGGGTGCATGCATATCTTTATCCCTGATTTAAAGGACACAAACGACTTAAGTTCCAGGTATGGTAAGGAAAACCTTTTGGGGATGGGGTGGAAGTATGGTTGGAGCTCACCCCTATCCCGTTTCACTTTTATCCCTGAAACTGTCCAGTTTGAGTTCTTTTTTTTTTTTTTAAATTTGGGTGAGGTTGTGTGTGACGCACACCCTACGTCTCATCTTAGCCTTGGTGGTAGATTAGTACCCTCTTTGTTCCCCTGATTTGAAAGAACCAGGAGGTTTTTGAAAAGGACAAAGCTTCGATTCTGTTTTGACATTGTGGGGATATCTAGTATAAATAATACCACAATCGTTCTTTGACCATAATTTGCAATTTAAAATGTTCAGATATGAAATATAATCAAAATATCTCTTCAGACAGTCGACTAATAGTCATTAGGAGAAAAAACCACCAAGAAATAAAAGGGTCCTGAAATAGGAAGTTTTGTCCCTTTGAAGAGGGAGTGTGGTTATAGTTCTTTCCCTTTATATCTTCCTTTTTCTCTTTGTCTCCTCTCCCTGTATTCTCTCCCTCTCCCTCCTCCCTGTTTCCTTCTTCCAACGTTCCCTCCCTCCAAATGAGGTTAGACTTGAAAAGAGCTTAGCACAGTACCTGGAACATACAGGCACTTAATAAATGCTTATTCCTTCCTTCTTTCTATTTCTTTCCCTTCTTTTTTTGTGCTTTTTTTATACTAGAGCAGTGGTTCTTAAACTAAGATCTCGATTTTTAAAAATATTTTGATAACTATTGCAATATCAATTGGGTTCCTTTGTAAACCCATGTGTTTTACTTTATAATTAAAATCATTCTGAGAAGAGGTCCATAAGCTTCACCAGATAGCAGATGATTTAACTGCTTCTGAAACCAGAGGAGATGCCGTATCTATTGGGCAGAAAAGCTTCAGGGGGCCCAGCAGTGTTACCTGTGGTATTCTATAAGGTGTATGTCAAGACCTTCTCAGTTGTTTGTTTATTCATCTGTGTGCCCAGCTCCCTCTCTCTCACTTCCACCACAGTCAAATCCATTGACATAAGTCACAGAAAAAATGAGTATACCTTCCTGGTTCACATGTACCTAGAATCCATATAATGAGATTTGATTTATAACTAGAATGGAAATGACAAAAATTGCTAACGGGAATGTTTGGAGAGTAGCAAAACTAGTGAATGGCATCTGAGTATATTCTCCTTACTGGTACAAAGCAGAAGATAATAAGATTTTTTTAAAAAATCTGATCAAATTTTAAACTTCTGGTGTTTTGTGGCTTGAAAGTTTGACTTCAGTATTCATTTATATATCCATTAACATTATTACATTATTAATATTAACATTATTATATATAGTGGTCTTTAACAGAAATATACATCTTGGAGCAGGGACCTCCAAGATCTTTCAAAATACTTTTTTTCCTCCTTCCTTTCAGTTTAAAAATAACAAATCAACCTTTTGCTCAACTTTCCTCTGGAATAGTTGAAATGCTGAAGTCCCTACAGTGTCTGATGCTATAGTGTGTTATACTGAAGAGTTTCAGTTGATGGAGGAGGGTACCCTATATCAAGTTGAGGGTACCCTATATGAGTTAAGGGTACTTTGACCTTCCATTTGCTCCATGCTAACTACCTGTAGATCTGGGTATAATTGAAATATTGAGCTTAGTTTCCATAAAGTACTAAATTTTTGGGTCCTAATTCTCTGTGAAATCACTTCCTTGGAACAATTTTGGTAAGGTCCCCAATGAGTAGTAGCTGGATGACAGGACTTTTTGTGGCTAATTCACATCTGTCCCTATTTTTATGAGCTTTAATGGATGCTGGGGGTTTAGTTATAGCCAAGAAGTATAAAAAGTTAGCACAATTTTCTTTTCTGTATCCTGGCCTTTATCTCACATGGAGAAGTATGTACTTTAGGGCTCCTTATCAAGAATTTGGTGTAAGGTAGAGTGATCTCTGTTATGTGATGCTTTGTTGTTAACTTGTATAGTCTGAGTTATTACCAGTGTTTTCCAGAAAGGCAGATGGGAGGATGAGAAGGGAAAGTATTTTTAAGATCATGATATGTCTTGTGAGTTTTGGTCTTTGTGGGTATGTCAGATTTTGGTGAAATAGGAATAGAGATGTGGAGTTTGCCATTACATGTTTTACCAAGCCACCTTTAAGCATTAAAAATTGCTTTGAAAACAATACTCCTAAGAAACTTTTACCAGCCAGAAGATGGCTGTGCTGTTACAAAATTACATATTTGAAACGAGATAAAACCATTTTTTCACCCCCTCCTCTTTGTGGTTTCTATTCAGATACATTTCTGGAGTACCTCTCCTGGATATTTAGTATCCAGCATCTATATGAATAAAAATAGTGAAGTCATGAGGCAGCTTAGAAGAGTAGATATCGTTCAGGGGTTGTAGCCCTAAAGACTTGGGTTCAAATCTAGAATCAGAATTTTAATAGCTGTGTGATTGTGGGCAAGTCTCTTAATTCAAGTAGATCCCTAAGACTTATTTAGTGAGTAATCATGAATTGCCTGGGATCTGCCTGGCTGTTGTTTAGTTTGTTCATTTTTAGTTGTGTCTGACTCTTCCACTTTGGGGTTTTCTTGGCAAATACACTGGAGTGGTTTGCCATTTCCTTCTCAGGCTCATTTTACATGTGAGAAACTCAGGCAAATAGGGTTTAGTGACTTGCCCAGGATCACATAGCTAGTAAGTGTCTGAGACCCGATTTGAACTCAGGTCTTCTTGACACCAGGCCTTGCATTCTATCCACTGTATCCACCTAGCTGCCTAAAATCTGCCTGGTGGCAGAGGGAATTCCTGCAGTGGAGTTCCACATACCGAGAAAATCTCAGTATATATTTCAGGGGGAAATTGAATTAGATTTAGGTGGACTTAACCATGGTTGCCAGGGTTTCTTTTCACCATAATAATGTTTTTCCTTTTAATTTCTATTTTCATTTTTAATATAACCATTTTTAATATAATGTAAATGTACTACATTTTTAATGTAATAGATAATGTATCCAATCTTCTCATTGTAGTAAAAATCAACCACTTAC